TAGATATAAAATTGTCCGAAAATTATGTGAATATTCCTACATTATAAAACACATAGGTGTGGAACAAAATCTTTCTATATAATAACACCGTTCTATGTATGACACAATACACTTCGAGGTTATTCTTTCAATACTGACATAATATACATAATAATTTTGACTATTGAAGATCTATATTATATTATACTTCCCTGTTAATAAATAGACCCTTCTTCACAATGTCAAGCTATTACGAACTTCGTCTTATACCTTGACTGCAATGGCCACTTTTCTTGTATCACAGAATGTAATGATTTGATTGGATTCGCTAGCGAATATAACCAATCACAGCCGTCGAAAGGAAAGATGTAAACATCATTGTTATTGTTCACAGACTTTCTGCCGAGGCTCCCATTGGCTGTATTTGGTAGAATTTTTATGTTTTTTTGTTTCACAGGGCAACATTGTAAAGAGGCCTTTGGCATAATTTTCACCCTTGTTATTAAAGATTTTATTATTTTTATTGTTATTATTTCCCTGACAGAGTTCCACGATAAAGTTAGCTATTGCACTGCAGGTATAAGACCAATTCGTAATAGCGTTATATTGTGAAGATATATTTTATTATACTTAGTTTATAAGACCGTGTATTTAATCGTATCTTACCTCACACTAGTAATGGGAATAAAACACGTCGACCACGTTGTACATTATAAATGGGTTTATATTATGAATACAAATTGAATAGAAACATTTTAATTTGCACAATATTAATAACAAATAATAGCTCTAAAGTTGTTCAACAACAATAAACCTCATGCGAATGGAAAACATTTTTTTGTACTCACCTAACGTTTCTTATTTTTTTCCTAATCCGACCAACAATCCAACATAAATTAAATTAATTTACTTACCGTATATTTCAATTATATTTTTAAAATAATGCAATTTGCGTGTCATATTAAAGAATTTTGCGACCCAATTAGCAAAACTTAAAATTTATCACGTCGATCTTCGAAGCAAATCATATTGTATATTTTTCATGAGCATTTATTGATATCAATAATATTAGGCAACCCTTGACGGTCTCTCTAAACCTTGAAGAACTATATGGGCTAGATCCATTGTATCTTTCAGTGATATTAATTCATTATTATATTATTAAATAACGTTTTATATACGTTTTACTTCAGGGGAAGTAATTATGCAATTTTACTTGACCATTGAGGCTACTTATGATTTTTTTTTATATATACAATTTTAATCAATATTTGACAATAGTTATATTGGCTATAGAGGTGGATGCTAGCTAACCATAATAAGCCTTCTGAGTACTGTAATTCGAAGCAATTCGATTCCTGTTTCTGTTCCTGCCTATCAACCCATTACCCCCACTGCTTCATAATGCCCTCTTCTCTGATTCCACTGACTTGTAAATAACCATATCGATCTGGAGCATACTTTAAAATGCTACTGAATTTATATGAAATGCGAATTTAAATTGATTAGTCAAAAAAAAGTTCTGTTAATTGTTAAATATTCTAGATATTCCATATATTGTCTAAATTACCAATTTTGATAAACAACTCAGAGGAATAATGATGAAAGGCTAACCCTTTTACTAACTATAGGACTAATGGACAATCACGATCTATGACTGTCAAAGGTTTTAATGGAAAACCACTTCATTTGATCGAAAACAGTAAGCAATATGTATTACAACTCCATGTCTCTGATTTAGACACCATCTTGGTCATTGGAGATTTTCTGTATTTTCAACTGAATATTTATTAAACAAAATGATAAACATAACAAAATTAATTATACAAAAATTTAATAGTACATTGCAGATATTACATTTTAACGAAAGTAAAAAAATCAGTGGGCATTTTATTAGAAATGGCTTATAATTAATGCTAAGTTTTAGTAACAAGCGTATATTCATCGCCTTGAGGTCCCAGAACAAACTTCCGGTCATGATCACTATTGGGTTCATTTGAAGACATAGAGACACCACTATCTACAGACGTCTCTTTCAAAGGCTTATCCGGTTTACGTTTTTTATTTACAACGGCATATTCTACTTCCGGTATTCCATTGATATTATTATCATCGTTTGATTCGTAATTCATGACGTCATCAGAACTCACGTAGAGATCATTCTCTATAATTTCCATTTGAATTTGACCATCGCCTCCTTGTTTTGTGGCTGGTTGCCTTGATGACACAGAATCAGCACTATCTTCGATAACAACAGCACTCGGAGACGAATTATTATCCTTGTCATGTTGACCAATGTCTACAGTAACATATCCAGCATCCGGTAAAGGTCTTGCTGGGGAGGGTTGATCGTATTGATCTTTCTTTCGTCGTTTACGTCTCACAAAGCTAAAAGATATATAGATATATATTAATAAGACGTTCAATATATGCTGAATGGTTAACATCTCGATAAGGACAATGAATAAGATGTTTAGGAACAGGAATATACTCTGGTTGTGAATTGTCGTGGTTGGTTTATAAAATATGCGGAACAAGGACGATGAAACACGTTTTCAGAAATCCACCCCCTTCCCACAAAGAGTAGTAAAGAAGACATTCATAATATCTGTGGTGAGAATGAATTAAGGTTATCGAAGACGGTGCAACACATTTAAAAAACAATATCTAACGACTCTATCTCGACAAGCTAAAAACGTTATGATCAGATTCACCTTCACTGAGGATACACACAAAACAGAGGCCAATGAATATACAATAAGGAAGAGAGAAACGATAAGGAGAAAATTGGTTTTGATAGATGATTAACCAGAGACAGTCTAATTAAAATTTGACCAAACTTTTGTTCCGTGTTTATTCGCTTTTATTTTTAATATAGCCATTTCAGTCATTGTTAAAGGACTGGCCTCTTAATAAATGTATAAACAATATTTATTACAAAGTAGGATAAGGGAACAGGCCTATAGTACCCTCTCCTTAAAAGATAACCTTTTGACTGAACCCTGTTTCAACCAATCAAATTCCTGCCCTCCCCAGCGCTGTCATTTGAAAGATTTGGTTGGTTAAAGCAGATGTCATCAGATTAGGATAAAAAGGTTATTTTGTCGAATGTTGAAGAATCCAGTCTGTAGAGTTTGGTCTAATTGTACTTGACTGAACCCAGAGAATGACGAAAATAAGTAGGAAGAAATAAGTGTAAGGACAGGAAGTGTAGAACACTTAAAGACGCGTTACCTGGTAATCGTGTAATAATGCGAAGGATGTAAGAATTGATAACAGACATGAATGAGAAGAATGATATCGAAGGGAATACTTTGAGTAACAATTACTTACCAAATGATCAATATCAAAATCAGAATGATCAATACCACAGCGCCACCAGCTATACCTCCTATCAAACCTATACCTAAAATGTAGTAAAATCAACATCAAACTATTGTATTAAATATGAATAGGAGCAAATCAATGATGAATCAAAATCATGTTGGATTAATTTGGTAATATTTTGAATTTGAAGGAAGTCTTTTTTTTTCTATACTGCACAAAATAAATCGGATGACTCAGAATAACACTTTTCATTTCAAGATTATTCCGACAGTATCAAATCTATAATCATAACATTTTACCTCATCAATATTGATATAAACAATACACATCTTTTCAAAAAAAGTTAGCTTCAAATCTATAATATTTATGAGGTGAAATTATTAGCATTCTAGTAGGATAATAAATTCAAGACTAAATTCGGTCCCGCTTGCAGGTTATGTTTTTCAATTTATATAACTCGAGAAAACATCCATGTACTTGTACCATGTAAAATGTAAGAAAGTAACAAATATATCTAGCATATACATTGCAGTAATTTAACATTTTACCTAGATCATCTGTGGTACTATCGGTAGTTTTATTATTCTGACTATTTGTTGTTCCATTTGAAGCTTTTTCAGTTGAATATATTTCTACAGATGATGCAGTATTTGTACCAATTGGTGCTGTATCTGACGGTTCTGTTACTATACTTGTAGCTGGACTTATAGTTGTTGTTGGACTTATGGTTGTTAAGGGACTTGTAGCTGTGGTTGTATCTGTATTATTGGTCTGTGGACAGAGTTTTGGTGTTGTAACAGCTGTATTGTGACAAGTTATATTGATATTATCTACAAGGTAGTCAATAAAAATGATTTCAAAATTTTCAATACAGTAATATCTAAATTTAATCTTCATAATTATAATTATTCTTATATTCCCAATCTAAAAATTACTTTGATTTTGTTATTGTTTGTATTATATTCACAGAGACTTGTAAAGACCAGCTACTGAATAGAACTTTTCAAATTATCAGTTGCTGTTGATCTGAAGCACATAATTCAAAATCAGTATTAGCCAACAGTTATTATTGTACAGATGTATGGAAAGAGTTGCACTTGAAATATTTCCAATGATATGGTTTTACCAGAAAAAGCTTCAAGACAATCAAGAACAAAAGTATATAATAGATCGGGCATGTTCTAATTATTTTTGTTTCTGAAGTCCAATAAACCCATGGTTGACTTTACACAGATAGTATGTAATAATAAATCGTCTTACCTGGGGTTGATGCAATGTTAATTCCAAATTCTAGACCATCATTTCCAGAACATTTATTTTTGTCTAATCTTAACTCCATTGATCCACTGGTGTAGAAATTATCTTGAAACATATCGTTGTTAAAATAACTGGTAGAAGTTCCATTAGAAATAGATAATTTGTATTGTTGGCCAATAAAAGTAGAGACATTGAATATAACTTGAGTTAAACTTCCAGTTTCTGATATTATTTGACACCAACAATTGGTAGGATCATTCTTGTTATTTCTGTATAGGAAAACAGAGACCATTGTGAGTGTCTTGTTTTCACACATACCAACTAAAATGATAAAAAAATATATCTGGGATTGTAAGTATGAAACAAACATATCTAAAAGATAATACCAATATCCATCTAATCATGTTTAGGGTAAGAATGATAAAACAAAATATAACAAAATGTTTCATTAAACATTATCAGTAATACATTTCATCAGATAACTTTCGCAAAAGCAGGTTGGATCAATTAACCGAACTGAAAGTGTATGAACGATTCGATAATTTCTCTAAATGTCCCATTGTTATTTTTTTGATTATTTATAACACTGAACATTTCACATTTCAAATACAATTTAAGATGCTTTAGGAGTTTATTTTCCAGTGATTCATTTTCAAGGGAAGTAAATCTTTCAGAAAATATACCATCCACGACTCTAAAACATGATATGTAAATGATTGTATAAATCCCTTTTTGGGGTTTGGCATGTTTATTTTTGCCAAATTATTGGTCTGGATTTGTAATGTAATGTCTGAAATTGCATTTTCTTTCAGATTTTGTGAGATGATGATGAGATTTTCATGCGGATAATTCTAAAAATAGTCGCTTTGTTGGCAGTGACAGTCAAACGGATGTTGATGAAATATAGTGGTCTACTTTCAATCTGACTAGCTCAAAATTTCACGGTCATGATATATTGATTTTTTGTCAAGAAACTAAAGCAACATCATATAAAGGCAATGTCAATGAATGAAAAATATATTTACTGCTGTTTCCATCGGTCATTCGCCAACAAACACTGACAACTATCACAAGCAATATTGTATTCCACATTATGTGTTCATCAAGACATATAGTCTGTTTCACGTTTTAATGTCGAAAAGGGTTTGTGTATCAATAGATACTTTATTCAGGAACAAAAGTCTCCAATCCTAATTTCTCATACTGTTTCTACATAACGACTGGGAAAATTACACAAGTAATATTAATGTTCGTGAAGACGACGAGTATTTATGCATCACAGAACACAGAACAAGTTTGTCTATTCTTCATTCTCGTTATAAACCTCAACAGAATAATATGGTCCAAATATTTTGTGAATATTGCTACATTATGAATCACAGTATCCTAACCATGGTCTAAACATTCGTTGCACTAACACTTTCTTTCGTATGACACAATTCCCTTTGTAGTTCCTCTCTCAACACTAACTAATAAAAGATACAAAATGGCTATTGAAGATCTATATTATATTTCTTTAACTTCCTGGTTTATAAATAGACAGTGAATTATGTTATACCCGACTAAACGTATAGAAATAATAACAAAAGACGGTCATCTTTTCAACACACTATATTATGTGTTTATGAATACGTAATACAAATGTGATTATATTTGTGATTTATGAAAGTCGAGAGCTAGTTTCTAGTTGTCACACTATACTTGAAAAGCGAATTGCGTTTATACGTATACGTTTCTGTTTAATTTTCTCATTACTGTTTAAGAGACAAATGAATAAACAGGAAACGCGCGGCGCTACTTCACTTCTGTACCTCTTTAAATGTACCATTTTTTTTATGTGTAATGCACTGCATCATATACAACAATTTATATGATTATGATTTCGAATTAAGAGAAAGGGAGAATTCTGAAAATTTAAAAGTCTATAAAATTGACGTACATGTAATTGTTGCAAACTGACCAAATTCTAAAATTACTATTAATAGTAGTTAATGGAACTATTATCAGTATCAGTAATATGCAGTATCAGAAGGTCGGACTGTTGATTGTTGGTTGTATGACTTGTCCTTCTGGTGCTGGCGTTTAACGAGACTAGAATATAATAAAATACACAATAAATATGAATAATATTTTTATTTTGCAAATGAGTATCTTTTTTTTGACTTTTACCTTCGCTTGTTTTCTAAGAAGGAAACATGCCACAGATTGTCTGTTCCTGTTTTCTATTCAAAATTGTGGACAATTATTTTTGAAATGTAAAACGGCACCATATTAACTAACCGGAAATTATCTGTGGACAATGGCATATTTTCGATGTTTTCCATTTATCAGCACTAATACTGATCTGAAGTTGCTCAAACTTTTTTGTGGATTACTTCGCGCTAATGACTACAAGATAGCAATTTAAAAAATCGACAATTCTGACTTTTGTCATTGACTTTTTTAGCTCCAATTTGTAATTACACCTCTTAACTACAAAACGAACTACTAGGTGTTCTGGCCAATATGGTTAGAAAGGAGATTGTTAAAGAAATCAAAGAAAGGGGAGAATTTGCCACTATGGCAGATGAGACCAAAGATGTAACAAAAACGGAACAACTTTCATTAGTACTCAGATACTATTGCCGAAAGAATGTTTAGGAACGGTTCATTATGTTCTTCTGAAAGCTAAAAGTCTTAGTGAAACAGTGATAACCTGTTTGGAAAGTTTCGGTCTGAGCTACTAAGATAAACTCGTTGGTCAAGGGTACGATGGTGCAGCTGTTATGAGAGGGAAACATTCGGGTATGGCCAAACATATTCAAGATGGAACCAAGTTTTCCCACTGCGCGCACTGCCATGCACATAGACTCAATTTAGTGATTGTTTACACAACAAAAAGTGTACGGGAGGCAGCCGATTTCTTTGCTCTTCTTGAAAGATGTATGTGTTCATTTCTAGCTCATACGTGCACAGGAGGTTTATTAACATTCAGCGTTCTTTGTACCCAAATGAAGCACCGAGAGAGTAACCACGTTTGAGCGATACTCGATGGGCCTGGAGGTACATAGCTGTTCGTAATGTCAGAGATCGGCTGAAAGCTATTACACAGCTTTTGTCACATATATCTATTGAAGACAACGAAATCAACTACAGTCTTGTTATGCTTTTGACAATATTCTCCAAACTTCTAAAGGAGTCAAAAGGCCTCCCAGATATGCTACAGAAACAAAAAGTAGATCGCACAAAGATTACAGATATCATTGATGTATTCAAGACTGAACTACAAAATCTGAGATCACAGGAAGAAAACTTTGATGCATCAGACCTTGTCTCTGACAGCAAATGAGGATGAGCAAGCACGGCAAAGAGGTCTCGCAGGCGCTCTCTGGGATGCTATTATCACAGAACCAATAGGCCAACGATTATTTTATGCCATTTTGGATGTGGAGATTGCAGAGATTAAGCGCCGATTCTTATCACAAAATTGTTCTATTATGATTGGAATACAATCTCTTAAGTCATGCAGTGATAAATTTCTTGATCTGAAATCGGTTGAATGCTTTGGCACGATATTTGACGCTAACATTGAAGATTTGAGCCACGAGGTATCACAAGCAACACGTCTTATAAAGCACGAATTCTCAAATTTCAGGGAAGTTCAACCAAAAAACGTTGTTGCATTTTACCTCATTTTGAGATCCTTATCAGGACGTCTTCAGTGCACTATTTCGTCTTTGTAAAACCGGATTCCAGTATCATCGGTGGCTTGCGAACGCAGCTTTTCTTGATTAAAGCTGACAAAAACATATTTGAGAAATATAATGACAAACACTCGATAAAGTGATCTCTGAGTCTTGCATGTTGAGCGAGAACTCACTGCGTCCATACCCTTGGACGATTTCATTGACGAGTTCTCAGAGCAGCACAATCACTTGAGGATAAAGCTCTTTTAAAAAAGATAATGTAGTTCATATTAAAAGTAGGTTTACTGGACTTTGGGACAATGTTTTCTTGAAAAAAGATTGGATTTGGTTGAATTTGATGTACATGTGATCTACATCATCATCATCAATGTAATCCTGGATGAAGGTCATATTGATATTGATCTAAAGAAATAACCCTTCTCCAAAAAAAAAAACAATGGTATACATCGAGTCCATCTGTTGACAACATGGAGTCATACTAGTTTTTGTTTTTAAATAAATCATTTTCCACAGATATTTCAAATTGCCTTCAAACTAATGACACTTTTGTATTTTTGAGTACAATGTTGAATATGTGTACAAACGCATCATCAGAAGTAACACTGAATCGTGTTAAAGGAACTGGTGTTAGTAGTTGTTGCTGTTATGTCAAACTGTTAAATATAGATACTATTGGATCTATTTAACCAAGATTTATATTTGAAGTTCTCTGGTTGTAAATATAGTCTTGTTATTTCATAAAAAAAAATAATCCTACATTTAGTTGTTCTATCGACAGTGCTATTTTTCGCACTATAAATAAAACAGATGAAGTTAAACTAAATTTGGAGTCAACGTCTTCTTACAAGAATGATACAGAATTTGAAGTGAAGATAAAGTCTAGTGTAACTGGTAAGTAAGATGTTTCATTTTGTTTTTTTATTGCTGAAAGAAATTTGTTTTTTTCTGTTAGGACTACTTCCTCTCAAGATATCGTCTAATGTTACTGGTAAGAAAACTGATCATTTTGTCTATAAATATGACTGATTTCTGTAGTGAGCAAACTAAACCTGGTAGAATTATTGTTGGATCATTGAAGATTGAACAGATGTGAATTATTGAAACATGAAAATCTTATGATTATGAATTTGTTACAAGATTAAGCAGAATTAAACTACAGTGACGTCGGTACAGTTTGTAGTTTTTATATATTTATTAGTAGAGTCGAGTAATAATTATTGAATTAGTGAAATACAATTGTATTAGATATCAACATCATCATGTTCTAAAACATCCTTATAACAATATCACATTGTCCTTGATTGGATAGGTTGTTACAATTAATTATTATTTTTTGAAGGAAGGGATAAAACAAACTTTTCATTTGTTATCACAACCATTTAGTAGTCTTTAATTCCATAGTGTTAACCTTCAAGACAATAGCACACACTAGCGCCACAAAATAAGCATAACTAGACTAATGGTTGATAACACTGTATTGTATTATGAATTCAACAGTTAGAGGTCCTTTGATAAGATTGATATGTTTTACACCAAACGATACCCTTAAAACTACTACTTGTACACCAACCGTAATACACCAAACAACATCTACTGGGGGACCACC